TAGGTTTGGACAAACTTGGGGCAGTACTGCTCCTTCTTGGACTGGCAGGGCTCGCAGGGGCCCTGGCGGCCGAGGCAGGAGTCGGACTGGGCACCGACGCCGACGCGGTCACCGACCTTGATGTCGCCCTCGGCCTTGGAGCCGACACGGACGGCGACACCAACGATCTCGTGACCGACGCAGACGGGGTAGGGGGCGGGGCCCCAGCCGGAGCGCAGGACGTGGATGTCTGAGCCGCAGACACCCGAGTGGGTGATCTGGATGTCAACGTCTGTCTCCTCCCAAGGCTTGGGCTCGTACTCCTGCCAGACCATATTGCCCTCGGACGACTCCTCATCCAGGCCAACCCAGCCCTCGAACTTGTAGTCGGTAGCGGCCATTGTGATGTGTGTTTTGTTTTTGTCGAGAGGGGGTAAAAGGGTGATGATGGGGTATCCGAGGGAAGATTCGTTACAAAGGGTGAGGATATAGTATAAGTGAATAGGGGGCTTGTCTATACCTCAGGAGCGGGAGCAGCCCTCGTCTTATAAGCCTGAAGTTACCCATCTTGCAAAACATGTTATGTTAAGTCCTAAGCTCGTCGGCGAAAAAGGTGGTTAACGCCGGTCGTCCAAGGAACAGTGAAGCTCAACATAGAATCCGCGCATCGGAGAAAAAAAACTTTGAGGTGGGTGGAGTCGAACGAGCGGGAACAGACTGGGAATAGATCGGTGACCCCTAGATGGGCCCAAGTGCGACTCGATGCCGCAGTTCAAAGGCCGATTGGGAGTAACTAGACCAAGGCGAGGACCACCCGTTCGGCGGGCCGTGTGTGATGCGTGTGGTATTCAATCGTCGCCGCTTGGGAGATGCGGGACCTTTCCAGAGCGAACCAAAAAAAAAAGGTCGGGAGGCGTCATCATGATACGCAGAGCCGGGCCCAAGTGGATAGACTCGAGATCTGGCTTAGAAATCTAGGGCATCTTTAGTCCCGAGGTAGGGGTGGTTTGGACGGGGGGAACAAAACGCGAGAACAGCGAGCAAGCGGCTCTCGACCGGGTCTCGCCCTCTTTGACGGAGGTCGAGACTCTCCGACTTCGTTCCGGGACGAGGGCGAAGAAGGGAGGGTCCAACGTTTTGCTTTGTCTAGTGTATATCGTACGCTGTACATCGTACACGTCGATTCTGCAAGAAAGCGGTGACAGAGAAGGACGGGCAGGGATCCTGATAGTCGCCGCTGTCAAGTAATCGTGGAGGTTCGTGATGGTTTGATGTCATCGACTCCAGTATTATTCGGCACTTGGAAGGCTTCACACCGCCAAGTGAGGGGCGAGGAGGACAAGGAATCGAGACGTGCGTGCATGAAAGAAGAGAAAAGAAGAGGAGAAAAAAAATGGAGTTACCGTCTTGCGGCGGTTTGGGAAAATGCTCAAATCTCTTCCGGTCCGTCCTGTCATTGCCAGCCCGGGAAAGGCAGCGCGGGTGAATTTCGGCATCCCCAGAGGAGCAAAGCTGCCATTGCTTCTCCCACAAGACATCTACCTCACCGACCAAGGCGTGCATGTATCCCTCACTACCTAAGTAGGTAGGTACCTACAGTACCAAGATACTTGTTGCCCCTTCGCGGCTGCCTGCCTTACGTCAAAGTGCGGGCTCTTTCCGCGGCGTTGGTTCGGGCTTCGCCGAGCTCTGTCAAGCTTTCAGAAAACGTGCTTTTTGGTGGGGACAGCACCCGGCTTCAAAAACTTTTGCTGTGCAGGGTCCACCGGTACGCCATCCTAATCTGCCGTCGATCTGCCGTCGTCGATGAGCAGTAATAAACCGCAAAGTGGTTGATTACTACGTATACGTATCCCGCCCGCTCGCAGCCCATCATCCTAAAGCATACTCGTTCCTAAACTTTGGACATACAATTCACAATGTATGACGTCACTCTCTTAATCTCCGTTAAGACTATCCCTACACCCTGCCCGCATCTTCCGGTGAAAAGTGGAGCACACATACCTAGGCAGCTAGGACATTCCCTCACCGATGCTCGCACGCCGTCACCGTGACCAGGGAGGGTCCCTTTCGGATCCCCGAACTATCTTTGCTGACATGGCCGGACGGAGTTATCCCGCCAAGAACATAAATCAATTGCGGAAACAATGTTGGATTCCGGCTTCATGCAGTCGCTCTCGTGCCGCCGCCGCCGCCGCCGCCGCCGCCGCCGCCACTGCTGCACCGAGAGTGGCCGAGATCCCTCGCCTCATCAAAATAAGTTTTGGCTAGAGCTGCGCAAACCACAACGTTATGTGCAGATAGTTTAGATGCCGTTGGACCCCTACCTGCGGCCCGCCAGATCCCGCGTCTCCGCCAAAAAAAAAAGCCGAAACTCTCTCTCTTTGACATCTCGCAATTCTGAGTCTAATTAGCCTCCCCTCATTTTCCGGCTTCGCGGCAAGACTGCATTTTGTCGATAGATAAAGGTTTCCTGTCATACCTTGATCAATGCCGTAAACTAGTGCACTGAGCGTGCTAGGTACCTACTCCCTTGGACAGATAAACTTCGCAACGGGGGGTGGAGATGTTGATTGCTAGATTTATTGCTGGACTTTTGTCTTTTTCCATACATTTATTTATTTGCAGGAGACCCCAATGAGACAGCTGCATGATCTGCAACAGAACGATCACCATTGCATGCCCGCAGGGTCACAGTGGAACAGTATCCCCCCCCCTCAGCCCTCCCCCCAAAGTGAGTGTGTTCGCTACTGGACTTCGCCCAAATGGCCACACAAAATGCTACTAGCATCATCACCATGCGCCGTACCTGCATATCCTTGGGGGGATCTTACATTGCCCGATACGGCACGCGCACATGCACACTTCGGCAGCTGCCGGCCCCGCAACGCCGTCTAACTCCGGGACTATCCCCGATGCCGATGGAGTTCATCTCGCCTCTCGGACCGCTCGACTTTGTTTGGATAGAAAAGCGCCAAAGGTGAGAAACCAAGGCTGCTCCTCCAACAGCCTGGTCTAGCTGGCACTTGCCTCCGCGACTCCACATGGCCGAGACAACGGGAGATTGAGAGCCGCGACCGCCTCTCCCCCTCTCTTCACTCATTATCCTCCTCTCCCCTTTCCTCCACCGAACTTGTCACCCTCGTATCCCTGACCTGAGAAGACGCACGCCCGTAACACGCCAAGCAACTGCCCCCCGTTATTAATGAACGAGCACTGGTACCGTATCTTCTCGTTAAATCCGTCTTTAGCTACTGCCCGAGCTAACGGCAAGGGGAATAGCAGCGGCCGAATGAGGGCTAGCGTGTCGGCAGAAACAAGGCTACTTGGTTGGTTGATGGGTTGGCGAAGTTGATTGGAGCAGTAGGTGAGGAGATGGATGGATGGACCGCCTTCTATTGTAGGCTTAGCTCTTTGGCGGCCGCTACACTACTTTCGGTTAGCTCGTGCAGTAGCTTAGGACGGATTTAACGAGAAGATACGGTATACGAATGCTGTAACGATGCGGGCAACGAGGCCCCCCCGAAGCAGCCGCTGGGGGATACTTAGGTACGTATCCAAGGCGGTCTCTGTTAAGGTCGCACAGGTACGCAATGATGCTCTTGACACAGTTGGAAAAACACAGTGTAAGAAGGTTCCTAGAAGAAACACAATACATGGAAGTATTCGGGTATTGAACTAACTCATCCGAAACCACAGCCCAGATCATGCCAGCCTACACAGTCATGACCCCTCAACGGCTGGTTGGAAACCAAGCTCCAGGGCAAGGCGGGAACTTTGGTTTTTACTGGACAGCCCAGGCCTCTGCGCCGGAGAAAAGGGGGAGCCCGACAAATCAACCCCCTCCCATCCCCCCTGGTAGGGGATCCATCCTGGGTTGTCCGTGTCCATTTGGCCAGGCAGGCCGACTTCTCGTACCCACCGAGGCAAATAAGAGCTCACACAGGGTCGGGCGAAAACCAAGACCGCCGCCATGGGGGAGGCAGTGTAAGTTGGCAAGGGCGGTGTTGACACTCCAAAGACTGTGTTCGCATGTTCATAACCAGTAGTCTACTCGCCAGCCGACAAATAGGAAGCAATCGATAGAATGGAAACAGGCCTGTAGACGGACTGTTTCTGTCATTGGGTTTCAAGCCTGCGGATAATGCAGAGATGTCGCCAAGAATACTTGGAACGGCGGGAAAGTCATCTCGGTTCAAGGGCCGTTCTCACATTGATTGGCGCCGTGCTGTTGCCGTTGGCTGGTAAGTCGATTTTGTCAGTAACCTTTCGTGACCGCCTTGACTGAGGCTGATGGTAGAACATCTGTCATGTTGTAATATGTTGATCACCGTCGTCTTTTCAGCTGAGCCATTGTCAGAGACATGACCGGCTCAGGCGAGATGCTGCGCAATGCTGAGCATATGAAGTAACCGGATTCCTCACGATCCTGCCCGCAAAATAGTGCACTGCACGCTACAATAATCACTGCATCTCTTTGTCACTCATCAGATCGACCTTTCCGAGAGTCACTTGACTTCGCACACGTATCTTCGCTCCATTTCTGACAAAATACGTCATGGGGCTCTACGACGCGCCGCGTGGGATGTTGAGGTCATTACCAAGCATGGTGTACTGAATGCGACATGGGACACAGTCCATGATAGATGGACGGTGCATAGAGTCTGAGTTGTGTGAAGCTGCGTTGCCTGCCTCGCTTCATGGGACGGTAGGCGATGCAGGGGCAGTGGAGATTAGGTCCGAATAAGGTAGAGCGCGTGGGCGCTGGGCGCTGGGCCCCGGCCCCCCTCTCCTCTTTGAGTCAAACGCCAAATCCTCCCATCTACTGGGTATGAGGCGAGCTCTCCCGAAACACGCGGGTGAAATTGCATCGTCTCTGCTGCTGAACCTTTCCACACGACCAGAGCACGGCACCCGCATCACGCCTGATGACTTGGATGCGAGTCTATTCTTGGCGTGAGATCCACACAAAAGGACATTTCTTCACTTAAACAGGGATCACAACAGGAGCCAAGCCAATGTTTGTCAAGATTTTTGATTTCAGGTCGTCCGGCTACCTTTGGCGAAATGGCCAAAGGTATCTCCAACTGCCTCTCCCCAAGGTATCATATTCCACAACCAACTTTCTAAACCAACTCAATCCGAAAATGAAATGCCCTTATGCTGACATGTCTCTGTTGTTCCCCTCTGTCTCGCGCTCGAACAAAAACAAACACCTCAATGATTTGCGCGGGGCCGTTGCAGTAAACAGCATCCTCCCCGGGGCCCGAGGACGACACCATGGAAAGCGTCATCATTAAAAGTACCAGATTAAGCCAAGATTGGCCTCGACTGCTCCGTTCAAGGCCCCGAGGGAATCCCGCGTAACTCAGTCGTGATAAGGATCGTGTCGAAGGTTACAAAAAAAGATGTACAATCCGCTCGCCATCGGCGGAATGATTTGTGTTGTCTTGATGCGCATGTACAGTCATTGATCCAAAAGTCCGGGAGGACGCTGCTTAAAGCATGAAGGTGAAGAACAGACCAATGGCGCCGAGAGCAAGGTTGGCCTTGGTCGCAAAGCCAGAGCTGGCGGCAACGGTCGAGGGGGCAGCGGCGGAGGCGGCAGAACCAGAGTCGGAAGCGCCAGTGGCGGAGGCGGAAGCATCCTCGGTAGCAGAGGCATCACTGGAAGCGGTGGCGGAGGCGGAGCTGGATCCGGTAGCGGTGACGGTGCTCAGAGTGGTCTTGGTGGCGGTCTTGCTGACAGAGGAAGAGGAGTCGTCGTCACCGCCATCAGTCTTGATGACAATGGACTCCCAGCTGCCGGTGCGGTCGCCGTAGACGTACTGCTTGGCGCCCTTGGCACCCTTGTTGCCCTGGTAGTCGGTGATGGAGATGCTCTTGTAGTAGGCGTTGGAGGGACCCTTGCTGAAGTCGGCGTAGCCACCAGCCCATTCGACGGTGCCCTTGGGGGCGTCCTTGCGGCCAGCGACCCAGGTACCGATCTTGACCTCCATGGGAGTCTGGGGGAACATGGCACCGCCCTTGGCGTCGGCGTACTTGAGCTCGCGGACGAGGGCGCCGTCGATGATCCACTTGACCGAGTCCTGGGTCCAGTCGATGGTGTAGGTGTGGTAGTCGCTCAGGGGGTTGCTGACGGTGTGGAAGGCACCACGGTCGTAGGTGCTGGTATCACCCTTGCCGAAGTAGTTGGTCTGGACCTGGGTGTTGTCGCCGCCAACCCACTCCCAATCGATCTCGTCGAGGTCGTCGGACTGGAGGACGATGGAGGTGACGATACCCTGGCCGGGAGCGGCCTTGAGGACGACGTCGACCTTGCCGAAGAAGATGTACTTCTTGGACGCCATAGTGGGAGCTTCGGACTCCTTGCTGATGGAGAAGAGAGCACCGCCATCCTCGAACTTGACGTCGGTACCATCAAGCTGGCGGAAGAAGGAGTCATCGTTGCCCTTGGTGAAGTCAATGTCCACCGACTTGCCCAGAGCGGGGTCGGCAGGGCAGGCTGGAGACCAGTCAGCAAGGCTGTTCCATCACGACATGAAATCAAATTCAAGGAGACCATGCCCCATGACGGGGGACTGGGAGTCGCATACTCTTCTTGGTGGGATCGCAGGTGGTGAAGGTCTGGGCAGAGACCAGCGAGGTGGTGGCGAGAGCCACGGTTGCGACGGAGAGGATCTTGGAGAACATTTTTTCTTCCTGTTTGTCGGTTTGCGGACGTCGATGGGAAGAATAGGATCGGATGAGGAAAAGGGTGCCTGGAAGTAGATTGACGAGAGAAATATCAAAGGCTCGAGGGATGTATTAAAAGGAGGCGGGCCTGTTGCTGGAGCTGGAGGCTTGCGGGTGGCTTGAAGCGAGCGAGTGGTGGAAATAATGCCGATTAACGAGAGACTGGCAAATAGCGTAAGAAAAGATCAGAGGAAACTCGTGAGGAGGCGAAGTAGGACGAGGTGAGGAAGAGAGAGGGAGAGGTACAGAAGGAGGATCACACGAACGGGGGAGATGGTTTTATTAGTCTCGTCACGATGAGGCACAGCAACACCCAGCACCAGCACCCACCTATACGTAGCAGTAGCAATGAATGCCTACGGTAACGGCATAATGGCAGGCATACTGGCTGGGTACTACATCGTACGTAGGTAGCATGAGCAGACCAGGCCGAAGACGACTCTTCGTCTCGGTTGGCCCACAGACAGGGACGGGCATGTCCCTGCTCTGTCTGGTCGCTAGGGCGAATCAATACGACCTCGTACCGTACCTTAATGAACCCTGCGCCTGCTTAACGGCCTGGGAGGGATGGGGTGGTCAGCCGCCAAGACTGAACCTCGGGCACCCCTGAGCCACTTGGCTCTTCAGGGAAAGGTCAGATTGAAGCCGGGGAGTAACTGGGCTGTGACCGTTTATTTTGACACAGGGCAGGCGATTCGGCATCCTTTTCGCTGTGTGGTTGAGTATATGTGCGTCCAGACAGCACAGTACGAATAAATAGTGTATTATGTAGCGAAGTAGGAGTTGCAAGTCGCGACTTGTGAATGAGTGGCGGCGTGACCACAAAAAAAACAGGAAGGGATGCAGACTGGAAGTGGGCTTTGGCCGGGTGAGGGGCCTGGTGGGCTGCTTTTCTGTTCAAAAGTACGGATACGGATACTCAAAAGGATTACCCTATCCAATTTGCCTGTGCAAAGGACCAGTAGTTGATGCAAGATTCCTTCACTTTACCTGAATAAGAAAGGCAGAGAGTGGAGTGGCACGGTTCTCTTTCTCAGCCAGGATCTCCTTTCCGGAAAGCAAGAGGGAAAAGGTACATAGTACTTGGGTGTCCCACTCAACCTAGGCAGCCACTTCGGAAGGAAGGTATGAGTACCCATGTACATCGTACCGTGTCCCACTTGAAAGCAGAGGAAGGGAAGGCAGGAAGGAACCACAGAGAGAGTTGACGAAAACGTGCTATGTACGGATAAAGGACTGTGGAAAGAGGGAGGAGAGATAGGCCATCCGTTACTGCCGTTCCTGTGCTGCTGCATTCCTGAGGGCATCTGCTGGGAGTTGCACTCGGTACGCATCGTATATCATGAGTCTATTTTTATTTTATTTTGGCTTTCTCTGACAGCTGTCTGCAGCGATGCGCGTAGAAAAAAGACAGGCAGATCAGATGATCAGATGATCAGATGCAAGGCACAGGGCCAGAAAGACGCTGATGGATGGTCCTTAGTGGGCCATGGCCGTAAGTCTATTTACACTGCAATTTACATCTCCTACTGCGTACATCAGTGCGAGTAGTGTCCCACGGGTAACCAAGCATAATTTCCTGGCAAAAGCAACAACTTGCGACGTTGGAACATTAGTCGAAGGATGCATGCACACGCAACACCGAATACACATATCATGTACTGTACTGGTGGCAACTGTACGGTGTACGTCTGACCCCGAGTGGAATTCCGCTCCTCGATGCATACGAATCAATACAAATACCATCTGCCCCTCGCCCCTCGCCGACGCTGCGTTGCCGCCGAACCAACCAAGCATCCCATCCATATACATAGTAACCATCCATCCATCCTTCTCATCAGTCTCCGTCCACCCGGCCCGTTTCCAGCGCATTCCAGGGCTGCACTGCCCATGCCACGAGGCCGGTCCGTCCATTCCCCGGGCGGGGGGTCCGAATGTGCCAGCCAGCTGATTGCTTGCTTTGCTCATTGTCCGTCGAGCCGCCCGCTTCCTTTGTTTCGCTCTGCCGCATTCCAGACCCGGGATCCATGCGCCACTGGTCGAGTCAAGCCCGCTGTGTCGCGCCGACGCACGCTGACTAGAATCCATCCGTATTCCTACTGGTCAGAACCGGCCTATAACAACCCTCGTGCATAGCCGACCTTGGACCTGGCCCATGTCTTTGTCGACGTCCCACGCAGATTTATCCATTCGACTTGATCAACAACTCTCTCTCTCTCTCTCTCTATCTGTGTGTGTGTGTGTGTGTGTGTCTGAGTGCGCGCGCGCGCGCCTCTTCCACTCTGATGTCTCCATCCAAGTTGGACTAAAGCCTGCCACCCTGGTCACAAGACAGCAACGTAAGAGACAGTGCAATCTCGGGGCTTCGTCGCCCGCTGGTGGTAACCCACCCGCCTTAACTTGGACGAGGTTTGGGAGAGCGCGAGCGCATGATACGGGGAGTAAGCAAAGCCGCGCCCAGCTATGCAGGAGACGACAACCCGGACTACTCTGCGACGGTCCTTTGCTTGGCTCAGCCCATAAGGTTACCAGGGGTGGACGGAGATGGACGGATGGATGATGGGAGGAAATGAGTTGAGCAATCTTTCAGGGCTCCCATGGTAGTAGCTAGTGCTACCTATGAAGGACTGTAAGATAGACCGAGCATCGTCCGCCAATCATGGCCGTAGTACATTCACTATCAAAAATTGTCGCTTTGCTCCATCGTTCCATTAAAGCCCGCCACCAGTCCCGTCAGCACAGGAACCAGAACACATGGCGTCTGTGTTTCCGGCCTATCGCGAACCGGAACAGCTGGCTGCGACCCTCCTGTGTCGCCGTGCTTGAAACAGGAGTAAAAAGCACGCTGCATTCGCCTAGAACAGGCTGACATATTTTTCTTTTTTTTTCTTTTTCCTTTTTTTCTCGCAAGCCCGTTGGAATTGGATTTTCCAGCCTCGAAACAGAGGCGGGCCGGAGAGTTGAACAGCGGGCTTGCTGCCTTCAGGTTTCCTCCTTGGCTGGCTACTTAGATACCTAGGTAGGTACGTACCGAGGTACCCAGATAGGTACCTGGATCACAGTGCCAACAAGCTTCCTTTTCCCACCATCATTTGCGAGATCCCTCGCGTCAATCACCCCCCTCGCTCCATCGTTTCTTGTTGTTGCCATCAAGTACCGTAATCATTATATTCTCGCACGTGTACGGAGACAAGGGTACAAATACGTAAACGACTTAATCCGAACCCTCTCTTAGCCTCTTCCCATTCGGACCGAAGACACCCCAGGAAAACGGCTCCAGAGATCTTCGTAATTCTCCGCTGCAACCATCAACGGGTCCAAGGCCAACGCAGGGCTCCTGCCCATCACGCGGCATTTCACAACACGAGAGAAGAGGCCAAGATTGCTCAGGAGGAAGGACTATTGTGCCGATCGCTTTTGCCTCTGGCTTTGGTCTCAGAGCGAAAGCGGGTTCCCGAGTCGAGGAAACCGCTGCCGTTGCCGCCGCCGCCACCAGTCGGTGGATTCGGAAAGAAAAGAACAGAAGATGAAGAAGAAGAAGAAGAAAGGCGAGAGACGGTCGCTCCGCGCCGCTGCCCGCAACGTTTCATGAAGATGAACCCGCCACTCGAGTCCGTTCTGGTGGAGTGTGTGAATGGCTGCTTCGTCGGGGGCCAGAACCGCTGCCTCGGCGTCGTCCGTCTCATGCAACCAATCATCGTCATATCGAGGGATCATACCTACTATCCCCAAGCTCCGAGCTCCAAGCTGGCTGCAGCGTTCGTTCCTTCCATGGGCTGCGAGCACTCGTATCAGTTGGCTGGGTTGCCTCAAACCCACGTCTAGCGAGCTGTCAGGCGGTGGCTGTTCTAGCCAACGGTCGACGATATACTTTGGCCTCTGCTTTCTCTCAACCCTGCTCACAGGCCACCTGGTTGATCTTCCAGCCTTCGAAAGACAGGTTTTCACAGTCGCTGGCATCTCAAAAGGAGAACATCTGCGATGCCGCCATCCCCCGGCAAATCATTCCAAAAAAGAAACATCCGGGCGGATCGATCTTTGGAAAACAAGCCCTCACGAGCCAGGAGCGCACTGCTAGCGCCAGCGGCAAATCTATAATTAACTCCAACGAGTCAACGGTTAGTTGAGGCGACAACAACGGCGTGTCATGCCAAATGGAGCACCTGCCACCCCTCCGCTAATCGTTGACAGATACTTCGTAAAAGCCCCTCTACAGTACTGGGTCAAAAGTCTGTTTACAGCAAAAAGGATAACCCAAAGAAGAGTTAAAGAGAGGACCCATTAATAGCTGGAGGTCACTTCACAGTGCGTCACTAAAGACCTTATGTCCTAACCACCTACTGTAGCTTTTGATTGGCTGTCCTTATTGCTGTAAACAGACTTTTGACCTAGTACTGTATGTGCTGCCTGTCATATCCACCCTCGTCATTCATGTCCGCTCGCAGATGACTGGCTTCCTCATTCAGCCTTGTCGCTCTTATCATCTGTCTTCACTTCTTCCTCGCTCATGAGGCGCCGCGAGACTGGTGGCCCAACGGCGGCCAGGTTCACGACTCGGGCCCGAAGGCCACGTCGTCTCCGACCAGTTCCCACTGGGCGGTCATGCTGCATGCTGTTCAATCTGTATCGCTGGCTGACATTCCATCAGCCCAGGTCCATGCTCCATGTCGGTCATTTTTCACGCCGAACCTTCATTCAATGTCCCGCATAACAAACCACCATGATGACGCGGTCGTCTCGGACGCGACTATAAGGTGCTCACCCATGTCGGCTAGAATTAGGCCAAGTGACCATTGACGGGTTCAAACAAAGCAGACGATTGACAGCCACCGACGAACGTCACTTCTGATCAACTCAGTGTCGTCATTCTCATATTATGGGCTAATACGACGGCACAGGTACGTGAGCCAGACTAATACATGAATATTCCCAATAGGTCATGCCGACATCGTCGCTTTAAACCAACGCACAATTTTGCATTACAACGTTGATTTGTTTATTAGGGAGGCAGTTTTATAGGTATCTTTACTACTGCTGATATTAGAGCTCTTTCGCCCCTGCAAACAATCCTCGAAAATCCAATCGTAAATGATCTTCGGCTTGATACCATCGCTTACCACGCAAGAGCAGAACTCATCGAGCTCATGTGCGCTGCAAGACGAATGCATAGTCGAGAAACTTGGTATCACTAGTAGCGAGTGTTGTTTGCAGCAGGTACCGTGTTGTTGGTGTACCCTCCTGTGTTCCCAGTATGTCCAGTTTGTCCTTGTCCGATGGGTCCAGAGTGGGCGCCCCTAACATGGCCGGATGTATTGTCGACGGGTGCGGTATGAATAGTCTTCTCCTCCTCAGCGATATTGAGCTTGTTTCTGCGACGATGGTCTCTGACCTCGTGGAAGGAAGCAGTGATAGCGTGGAGGAGACTATTGCAAGAAGCTGTCAGTAAAGCAATCCATCCAGGTTGCGATAGAACATGGTTTTCCGGAACTTACGTGCTGATGATACTCAGAATAAAGGTACCCCACGGCAGGTCACAAGTGTCATCGGTGCTTGCGGTCTCGCCAGTAGCGCTGTTGGATCCATCACTAAGACGTCCCTCGCTGTAGCAATGCCTCGGGCCAGCCATGCCACCATTGGGCGAGGTGATCACGGCGACGGCGATGAAGGCGCCCACGAATAGGATGTCGAGCACGACCCACAACCAGCGGAGCCAAGTCTTGGTGCCGGGACTAGAGTTCTTCTTGATGCATCCGAGAATGGTCATGATGAGGGTGTACAACACGGCGGCGGCAAGGATGCCCTCGACCGCGCCGTAGGAACCGTTGACACCACGGCGAGTCTTGATGGAGTTGACGAGGCGATAGACCTTGAAGAGACGCTGAGAGAAGATACCGAGAGAGATGACGGATGAGAGAAATTGCAGCACGCGCGTGAGACGCAGCAAGAGGCCGTAGAATTTGGAGTGCTGGAGGCGGGCAGGGATGAAGCGGGTGAGGAGACCCGTGGGCTTCTCGTCATGGACAGGACCGTCGAGGGGGGCGTCCATAGGACGACGCTGGTTCAGTGAGGCCATCGCGGAACGATTCTTGGGTGAGACCGGAAGATTGTTGGCTGTGACTGCGTCACCAATGCTCGATTATGTGGCGCGCCTAGGTGAGTGTTGCTATGTTTGAAAATGAATCGATGCTGTTGTTATCCAGGATACCGTTCACAAAGCCGCGGCCAGTCCCCTTTCTTATGTACGCTCTGCGCTGCTACACAACACCAACATAATGATGCGCTTCGGAGGCGGTATCTTGGAACGCCGCAAAGAGGGCAGTATTGTGGCTGACCATCGTCACCGCCACGTAACGGCGACGACAAGGGAGGAGCAGCAGAAGGCTCCGGCCCCGTAACAAGGGGCGGGCGGCCATACATCACATTACATCACATTACACGGTCCGGAAAGGAAATCCGACGTTTTCAAGCGCTCCTGTGGTCTGCTGGAAAAGCTCCGATGGGGTGGCAGAGGCCACAGGGACGGGACTCAGTGACACATCGCCTGGGCTTGGGAGTGAGCCGCATAGCCGTGCTATCGTGCCTGTGTGCATGTGCGCGCGCATCGAGCCAAGACACAAGAGCCTTGGCCGACGTATTCTGGACTTCAGTGAGAGGTTCAAAGTCGGGGGGGGGGGGGGTCTCTCTCTCTTGAGTGGTAGGTTGGGGCTGCAAATCGCCATTGGAATCAAATCATCATGACCGCATCGGTGCCCAATGAGGACTTGAGCTACTGACGTAGGGCTGGCCGCACACCGTACCTGGAGCATTTCTCCGTCGGTCTCAAATCGCACAGAGACAGATGAGACTTGTGGTCTTGCCTTTCCACTAGTAGGTATGCTTAACCCCATGCTTGTCGCGGATAAGACTTTTGGCTGTTTCCCTGTGGAGAGCTTTCCTCGCGAAGCAACAGGGATCTCCATGACGACGTGATGAGCAAATGCTGCCATATTTGTCTGAAATTATTCTAAATACGTATTGATTCCGCGTTACTGTCATTATGGTTAGTTTTGTATATCTATTCATATGTCTATGTCCGAGTCCTTCGCGTTGGCGGCTCCGGTGTGCTGAGCAACTTCAAAGCATTAGTATACTATGATGCACGTAGCGCTCTCTGATTTTGATTCTCTGCTGGCTCAATGGAGACCCATCAGCCCAACGAGGTCAGACAACTCGTTACATGTAAACAAACAAGCAATTGCCTCATCATGGGTCGTGTTCCGGACCTTGGTCATGACACGCCGCCACTGCGTTGTCATTGTTCCCGGCCTTGCGACTCAGAAGTTCTCAGTATTTATACGGTTAGTGAGCTAAATCAGATGCATCATGGTCTTGAAATTCCACTGTCTTGAATTGAACTATCGTTTGTTTTCCTTTGTTCTCATTGAAGCTTGGTTATGGCCTGTGTCAGGCTTGAGAATGACTCTCGGTGCGGCTTCGGATATGCATAAGTAAGGCCATTGATGACTGCACTACCGCAATGTCTCAATATCTAGCAACGTATCAAGCATCATAGAGAGGTCACAGGACCAGGTTCAATACACGTGTCACAGATACCTGCGCGGGTCTCACATGCACACATATGTATGAATGCGCGGCTTTCACAATTTACCAACGAGCCATTTGGCAAAGCTTTATCAACGTTTGTTAATAAAGACTCCAGTGAACTCAGATCTATCTCCAGTTTACTTGCAAGGTAGTTCTTAGCCCATTCTAAACCTTCCATCAAGATTGGAGGCAAAGAGTGACACGCGGACCATTGCAGAGCTAAGCATATACTGCACACAGAAACGACCATACATACAACGTAAGAGTAGTTGTGAGTCTTTTCGAAGTGACCTCTTCTGATAAATTAGTGAAACTGGCCCAAGTGTGGTGGATTGGGCGAATAGCTGGCCGCCACGACATGTCATACGTCAGACGATGGCCGACTGCACATAGGCCCGGAACCGCGTCTCGTATGATTCATGAGAGATATTATAGAGAACAGAGAGCTTTATAGCACAGTTTTGTACCGATGTATTCAGTGTCTGAGCACCTCTTGTCCCTCAGTAGTTCTTCTCTGTTCAACCATCCTGCCCAGCACTGGCGCTATGCCTCAAGGTCAATGGGCATGCTATCTGAGGCTGTCTTGGTCACGAACATCATACGAGATGTAGGTTGCGATACCCAATGTCTGAGCTCAGTATTGGTGGCTTTCAACAAAGCACTAAGACGGCCTGGCTTGTATAAATAGTGTCCTAGCTAGGCAGGTGTCTGAAAAATGAATGCATAAAAAGTCTTGCAATAATGGGGAGTTTTTGGAATCAGAAGTCTGTTTCCTGTGGGAAAAAGTGCGAGCTAATGGCTCTTGTTGACGAGTCGAGGGTGAATGATGTCCATGATCGTAAAGGGACCAGGACTGCCTGCCTGTCGCTGAGTGACTTAATAGTTGTAGTGGCCAGATATTGGCTTCTGAAGGGCAATCAGCAACATTTATACGAACGAGAAGACAGGATGAACTAAAGCCTCCCATCCAAAACTGCTATTCCTTCAACCATGGCTCCTTCGAACAAAAAGCTGTTCAACGAGCCCTGGAAATCCGATTATATTTTCAAGGTTCCACCGAATTTTCTGGGAAAGTTAAGAAATGTCCCAATTTCAGACACTTTTAAGGACCCGGCAATCAGCATAAGGTTTCCGGGTGCTTTGGTCGGGATGGGTGCAGCTGTGGTGCAGCCTGAGTTTGGTTGAAACTTTGGGACAGCCAAGGGCGAAAAGGCATCGCAGCGATCCCGGTAGGTTTTTGGGGCACTAATGGGGGAAGATCCAAAAAATTAAATGGGGGGTCAGGGCCATTGATAGAACTTCCACCCAGGCAGCCAGGTTGACAGCAGCAGTGCGCGAAGGGAAATGGTAGACTGTGTACAACATTCCCAACTGATTTCAGGCGAGGTTGTTGCAAAATAATAAGGCGCAGCAGGTTTTGTGTATGAGCCTCATCCATCCAACACTTATCCAAGTCACATGCCTGGTTTCAAAGCGTCTTGTCGTTCAAGATCCTTCGATGGGGGACATCTATGGTTCGAATACACATCACGCATGCGTGTTTCCCCAGGTTTGATAGACACGCTGAGCAGGATGTACAGATGGAAGGCGGGGATAAAGGCTCCAGAAAGTGGAAGTCATATATATATACACGTATAACGTCCGAATTTGATCCTCGAACGTTTGTACGAATGATGTTTTAACCATCAATATGGGTCGGTTTCCCCCTTAAGCCTTGTCAATCTGAACTTTATGTATAAACCCCACAGCCGCGCAAGACGTCACCTTGCATAGGAGATTGTGTCTATAAGGTGGCTGATTCTTCTCGCACTCCTTCTCGCGCTCATTTCGCGATCGCTTCATCCAACAGTTACCGAGACATTATGCGGCATTATATCATCGACCGCCCCCCCCGGCCTTTCATATTAATTCGGCCCCGTCATGACCTCTTCTACCCTGGACCCATTGTACATCTTTATGATGGCTACTCTGAATCATTTTGGTCGACTCTTGCTAAGAGATCATTCCGAAAATTACCAACAGGGGGATATTGGCCTGATCGGGGAGTACATCCATGGAAGCAATACGACAAAGCATTCCGGCGACTCTGGAACTATCAATACCTCCAACCTGCTCCTACTCTCGGGTTCAAAAGCTTCGACACCTCCCTCCACTCTAAAACGCGCCAGTCCCGACCATCACTGGAGACTCCAAATGTTTCTACACTTTGCAAACGAGACCAGCATACGCGTCCCCCCCTTCCGAATAGCAACGTCACCTTTGACCGGAATTGAAGCAGTTCTCGAGGACCAGATCAGCGAAGAGGGTGTGATAAGGTTGGGTGAAGTTTGGACTATATTAGACGACAGACAGAAATATCGCGTTGTAGTGCAAACTAGGGAGATGATTAAGGCGCTGCGGTCAACCAAGCCCAGAGATATACCTCGACGCCCTGTCATTGCCGACCGCTACGTGTCTCGTCCTGGGTGCGATCCCGTCAACCGGGTAAGGGTCTACGAAAATAATAAGGAATTTGTACGCATTCTCAGAGATAGTGTTGCTTCTGTGTCGTATGATCCGGATCTTGTCCGCAGCGCAGTGGAGTTTGTTGACGAGCTCGCCTCGTCCAGGAACGAGCTGGTCTTCACGCACGGAAACCTCACAGCGGACAACATTTACATCTCGGAGAGGACGGGAGATGTCTTGGCGATTGGGAACTGGTCGGAAGCTGGCTACTATCCCCCTTACTGGGAGTTCGTCAAGGCCAAATTATCATACAACGAAGAACCAAACTTCGATAGGGAGGGAGCGGTGGAAGAAATACTGAAACCTTGGCGAATTGAACTTGCTCTCATGAAGCCTGCCCACGAGCTCATGTATTGAGTGTGCGCGAAGGCAGGAGACATAAAGCACAATCGATAACCTAATCTTGATAGTAATCGCAATGCACTTACGAATGGCGTTATAGATTCGTGTTTTCCGTTGTGTTCGACCTTTTCTTTATCTGGCATATAAGCTGGGAGGGGACACGGTCTGAGAAGGGTTCCGGGTTCCGGGCTCCCGGCCCCAGGTCTCCACCTTTCGGCCCGTTAAACGAACTTCGTCCCACTTCACAGCGGTCGGCTGCAGGTCAGCAATGTTTCAACTGCACTACCACATATCATTGAAAATGCTCGAAAACAACGACCATGGATCTACTGCAGAAGTTGCCGATAGAACACGCCTTCCATTACACATATTTCCAAGCCCCATAGTTATACCGCCACTGAAGCAGCCACATCTGCATTCCCTAATCTTTTTGCATGGTCGAGGGTCAAGTGCGGGTATGTTTGCGCCGCCGTTCCTTGCCACGCCTGTCCGTGGACAAGATTCAAACATCATCACGTTGAGAGAAGCACTGCCTCACACGCGATTCACCTTCCCAACTGCGTCGCGGTCAAGGGCAACAATTTATAGGCGCTCCATCATCAACCAATGGTATGACGGAAGTGGTGATTGGGAGGAGACGGTGTTGGGGAATGCCCGGGAGACCGTCCGTTTCGTACACGCGCTCATCAGAGACGAAGCCCTGATTGTAGGCGGAGAAGACAGAGTATTCTTAGGCGGTTTCAGTCAAGGATGCGCTGCTGCACTTCTCTGTTCGTTGTTGTGGGAAGGCGAACCCCTCGGTGGCATTTTGGGCATGTGCGGGATGCTGCCCATGGCCGACACTATCGAGAGCGTTCTGCGAGAGCGTCCTCATACTATGAATGATGAGTACCAGGACGCGGCCCCAGTAGGTTCGGATGACGACGTATTCGAGTCATCAAATCACGAATCACCCTTTAGTCGGAAGAGAGATGACCCCGAAACCAATCCACTTGAACAGGCTTTGATTATCATCCGAGAAGAGATTGACCTTCCATCACACTCATCAACATCAGAACCACCGTTCCAGAAAACACCCGTGTTCCTGGGCCATGGAAGCAAAGACGACAAGGTGCTGCCTCAGCATAGTCAACAGGCCTGTAGGATACTGCGACTGATGGGTTGCCATGTTAACCTTAGGATATACTCTGAACTGACTCACTGGTATTCAGAGGATATGTTACAAGACATGATTGAAGCGTTTGGAGGCAAGGGGACCGGGTCGAAAGGCGTTGATAAGCCTGAAGAGAGGCGGGAGTGAACCAATCAAGTTGACCTCATACACTGATGAATTAATAACATGAATATGGTAATTGAGCGAATGAAATCTCATTCAGTCTAGGGATCTTCATGATTAATGACTTATAGTAAATGAGTACAAACGTCAACACAAGTTTAATCATGTCATTGCAAGAATTGAGTTCCAGGTAGTATGGTACCGAATCGCCCGAGCCGTCTCCCGCAGGGAACTAGTCACCGTTAAACAAGCATCGCATGCTTATTTTGTGGGATATGGAGGCCTCCCCACCACCCATGGATCGTATAAATCTACGGACAGGAAAGCGGTTGAAGAGGGATCTAACCCAGGTACTACACTCACTTAAGCCTCGCTCTTGTTAGCCATGTAGGTATCCACGTATCTTGAGGTTAGCTTGATGACTACTAACATGACTTTTCTAGCCACTACCATCAACCACTGCCCTTTTCGTTAGCCAGCGCGGTGACTTGAGCCCCTTTTGTTGCAGCGATACCATGGAACGTATTCTTGGAAACGTTTGGTCCCAGAATATGATCCTCTCCTCTCAATGAGTTTCTAGGGCCGCGTGACCGAATTTGCGAGACTAGATGCAATGGGTAAGCATCTCAAGCCACTACGCTCCCTCTATCAACGGAACGCTGAGCAGATAAGGTGAACCGTGACCAACATGGATGGCTCTTTGAGGCTTGAGTTCGTGAGAGGCCACATACATTTTCGTCAAACTGTTACTCATATTAAGCCTCTGGAATAGCCATTTCATGACTAAAGCGAGTTCATGGAGTTATTTCATGTCTACGGGCGGGCTGGTGAGCCCAATGACAAATATGCGTCGTTCCGGGCAAGCTACGAGAGAGCCCGACTAAGTCGCAAGCGACTCGGTTCTTGTACTCATCCGGTGCGTCTATGCACCGCGTTGCGTCAGTAAGTTCAATAGATGCGTAAGTCATCAAGGAGACCTGCTGGATAATTGAGTCATTGCGCTACGACTGCCCAGGCTTGTAGCTCATCGCCCGCTGTTGAGCAGAAAAGTAACAAAAGGGACGTTACCAAGGCAGAAAGACACACTAAATACAATCGAGAGTTAGCTAAACGGGTCTCATGACTGAAAGTAAGAGATAGAGGGAAATGTGGGTTGCGTAATGGCGGCGGCAACGTCCTGCCCAGTCTTAGGCAACAACACTCTACCAGTAACGTTCCGGCCTCGGTCCATACCAGAGGAACAATTGAAGGGCAATCTTTGTGCCATCAGCCGCCGTGATTCTGGCTGCGATAGCGTATGTTAAAGTTGCGGTGGTTGAACAGCTCGTAGTAGAAACTTGGGTCTGGCTGGCCAGTCCGCCTCATCGCGTGCACTGTTCCGGCCGGACCTCCCTCTGCAGAACCGCATGCCATCCAGGCCCTTTGAATCCACCACAGTCTTCATGATTCAAAAATTGGACTTCCAGACATGTCATTGAAATAGAGTCATCCAACAACTAGGCGGTTAGCCGGGACCCGGCCAAACCTCCAATCGCTTTCCGCTAACATCCATACACCACCCTACCAGGTTCCCCTGCCAAGAACCGCCCCAGGAATCTCATCCTAGTCGTAAGGTGACGTCTGGAGAGTTAAAGTGCGGGCTTCTTGGCCCTTCACCTGAGCTTCTTCGGGAAGGTCTATCGAGATCCCTTGTCCCGCCTGCACATGGAAGTAGTGGGGTGTGGGGGCTCAGCGAGACAGCCACCTCGGTCAGATGTGGGGTTGTTGAATGATTGACAGGGTCCCTCGTAAGCGTCAGATATCAAACGTCAGGAAGATGTCTACTGGCGTGTAATGTAAACTTGAGCCGTGGTTAAGACAAAGAATCAAACAGGAATCTGGGGAAATCTTTAGTCTAACTGCACCATAGCAAAACGATTACACAGGCCGCAGCTAAAAGGCGGTTTCTTGATAGATGAATCGAAACCAAGAGTTTGCCGTCTCAAGTTCTACATCAACAATGGCCATGGAACGTCATGACAAATCAGAGGAGAATAGTTGGTCAGGAGCTTAATGTGTCCGTGTTGCCGGAAGATGATACATAGACGAAGCTCCTCCGTCCCCCTTTCGACTATTGGGAGAAAAGATCGCCTTACCGACTGTAAGCGCAGCATGCCTTTGGGTATCGATAAATGACTTCTGATAGGAGAAAAATAAAACGCTTGGATCAATGCGTTCTACCAAGAAACTGATTAAGCCACAAGGAGCCGACACATGTTCATGGCATACGCTAGTGGTTTGGCTGTAACATCCAGCTTCCATACCGCCAGCAACGCTTGTTGTTCAGCTCTAGATACTCGGACAATTGGACGGTATATTTAGGGAAGGGATCACATTTTTGATTCAGCCCTCTGGGTATCCAGCGACTTAGAGGCAGGTACTTTCCAGAGCTCCCCTGGTGACTGAGCTGACGGGAAAGTCTTGTCAGCAGGCCGCCATTGCATCAGCAACGAAGGGGGTCTTGAAAGATATTCTTCTACTCCTTCTACTCCAAGGAGCAGTCGACTGGAGTTATGCGCCTTGATCCACGTGGGAACAGCGTGTATCATGTCAGGCTCCGTGGCAGGTCAGGCTCTGAAGATCAGCAACGCATGACGTTCCACCCCCCCGGATTGCCCAAGCCCGCAGATATTGCACATTCGGTGCAGCACTAACCCCTGTAGAGAAACGATATGGTGCCAGAAGTCCGGTTCCCTCCAGAACGGCCAAAGACGGGTGTGTGTGTGTGTGTGTGTGGTGCAAGGTGATTAGTACGTTCCGCCAAAAGGCCTGGCACAGCCGAGAAGCTGCAGATTGTCAGCTGGGGCGGAGAGGAAATGAGGCAAGAGATTGAGGCCAGGAGCTTGGTGATGGATGGACCATTCATCAGTCAATCAAAGAGTGCGGGGTGAAAGCAGAAAGCAGGCTGTCGGTCCAGCACGGGAGGGCGATGATGAAGATGTGTCACCGTCCAACCAGACGGTTGGCGGATTGGACAATGAACTAGGAAGAGGTTGTGTGGCGCAGCTGCACGTCGAGCAAGATGATCATTTCCGATGTCACTTCCCACACGGCCCAGGCCAGGTTCTGCAGGAGTCTGTGGGGATTCAGGTCAGCAGACGCCCAGAATGCATCCGAGCACACCAACGTGGACGCCCCCCCCCCCAGCGTGCTGGGTGAGCTGGGTGAGCTGGTAAGTGGGTTGGAGAGCGGACAAACACTGTGAGAGACATGAGAAACTCCCACTGTCGCGAGCTTCTAGCCAAGGCCTTGGGCACACCTACAGCCCGTTGTCCGGTCACGAGCCGATACAAGCCTCTAAAGGAAGAGGGATACGTGTTCTGCCAAGCAGGGGTCGAAAGCAGCGTTGACCAACATGAGCCGCATCTGGCCTCGACGGGCACAGGATGACGGGGGACTGTTGCTTCTGTAGGCACTAGGCAGATGGTATGGCGCATCATTGCCGAGTTGATGTCCGGAGTAGAGTAAGATTGAGAGCAAAGTAAGACTGCGGCTGGGCTGACATGGCTAACTTGGACGAGCTATCGGACTTGGGGGAAGGCTCGCCGCAAGCTCTGACCTCGACGAGGAGTTGAAGGGCGGAGTACTCCCCCCAGTCTAAAGTGGTTGGCCTCTTGCGGGGATGGCTAGCGTGGGGGTTAGTTCCGTCTGATGGCCGTCGATCCCTCCGGTATCCGATGACGGCAAAGGAGGCACCCTGTAGGTATTTGCGTGCTCTGGGACGAAACGCTTATTTGCCTCTGTTGTTTGATTCAGAAATCTGGAGACTGATTAGAGCTAGGTATACTACCGGTAGGTAGATCGGAAAAAGGAAAAGAAAGCATTCTGGGCACATGATAAAGTCACACTCCCAATCTAGACAGACATTAGGGTGCCATCGAGCAGTGGTGCTCCATTGCAGGACCTCTGCATCATGCAAGCCAACAGGTCTCTCGGTATTTAGTTTGTTCCCGTAAGGATGACTTGCGCCTTCAGCACTGTGTATTGTCCGGTTCTGGGGGGCGCTTGTCTCGCCATTGTGTCCGGCCTTCTTTCTGAAATGGCCAAGAGCGAGCCATATCCGAGATACCATCAATGGGCAGCGTCACTTCACATATGGCTTATTATCGGCCTGCTCTCGAGACCCGGGCTCCGCGATGCTTTCTATTCAAGTCACGAATGCGTTGACCCCTCGCTTGTCAATAAGGCAGACGAAGGCCATGGTCGGGGCTGATAATAGTGAGACTTTAGGCAACGTGCCAAAAAGTCAAAGAACCGGGTAATCCCTGAAATTGAAAAGGATGCCAGCCAGGATCGAGGCCATCCATTCAAAAACAGCATGGGGGCAGAAGGGAATTAATGGGCAGGTCAACAAGCCAAGCTTACGTGAGCGGGGGACGGTCGATAATCGATATAGTCGTTCTTCTTACTATGCCCGAGGGAAACGTCGTCCGCCCCCAAGCAGGCGCGGCTTATACCACGTTGTCCTTGAGCATCTCAGCAATCAAGACATCTCAACGGCCCGTACTTTTCATTGCCCAATCTGCATCGCGGTATCATGGCATCGCCACGTCAACTAACGGCAAGCAGCTCAACTAATGCAGCAACCCCCTTCTGCCCTTGCCATTCATTATACACACACCAGCGCTGCATTTCAATAACAACAGTCTTGGTCCTTATTCCCGCTGCTTCGGCCGAGGTGCACGGCTGCTTCACCTTCTTCTGGACCTGCAGACACTGCATTTCTCAAGTCACATGCCCTGCGCCATGGTTGTGATCCCGTGTCCTACGTATGCAGCCGCTGGCTTTGAGCAACAGGCAATTGGCTGCAAGATCCCGAGGTCCCGCGTAGACGAATTCGAGGCTTATGCCCCAGCGACCCTCGAAGCCTCTATGGTCGCAAGCATCGGGGTTGACCCACGACCCGGCCTGGTTTGATGACGGCGCATCATCAGAGTCTTATGCCACATGACCATTGACGTTTTCTCCACACCATGCCTCTTTCACGGCAGTTGCTCAAGGGCCATTTGAGCATCCAGCGTGGGCAAATGGAAGCCTGGCAGTCATGTAATGCGTACTTGGTAACAACACCTGGGCCAGATCAGCAGTAAAATCGTGCTTTACTATCTCTGACCGTTCATTGGGCTCATTCACACTTTCTTTCCGTCGGCAGATCTTGATGGCAAGTTCCCGTTGCCCCAAAAAGTTGGCTGGGCCGATGAACAGACCGTCCAAGACATGATTGTTCCTTACAGTCCTTCAACCTCGGTCTACGGGCGTCGTTTCTTCATGGATCGCGGGGCACGCCTGCTTCACCGGCGAGAGATGGGCCCTTCGGCAGATGAGCCCGAAATCATCTGGTCGGGTAGGCGTCGGCCAGCGCCCGACCATCTCGAATCGACCTATTGAAGCTTTCCACGAGTCGCTTGATGGGCCCTTTGCTGGTTCCTCGTGAGACTTTACGGACGGGACGCCCGCCATGTGGGCTCATCCTGACCGGTGATGTCTCACCGTCACGTCCGTAACGACGACCCTGAATCTAGGGACGCATACCATTGGGCCATCAACTCAAAGCACAGCGACGATCCGGTTTGCTTTGGGCATTTTCACATAGCACGATAAGCCCTTAGACCCTCGGAGCACTTTCCGACGACGGCGGCTTTTGTCCATGCTCCCATATGCAATGTCCCGCCTCACTCATTGTGTCTAGACACTACGTACGATACGTCCGGGTCTATTGGAGCTAACCCCCACTCAGTGGGCGTTCCCCAGAAGAGACCCCTCTTCAACCCCGACCACATTTGGCATGGTTAGTTTTGGGTTGGGTCAGCTTTGCTTTGTATCTCTAGACATCCTCTTCTCTCGCATACACTACGCCGACCTCTTGTTCACTTGCGTGGGCGAAACACCGGCCCTGCCCTAACCTTCACGCACTGTGTCGCAGCGGACCTCGTTCAGGCGCTAGAGTCTCCTAGAGATGAACCCCTTGTCTTTTGCTGCATTCTTCGTACTACATGCAGCCGTGCAGGTCGACTGCTCGACGCAGGTCAGAATGGCCTGCCCGCTTCTCCCTTTCATTCGTATGGCGTGACTGGCTCTTGTACACTAGACTGGCCGCAGGTACTATCTTGTACACACAATTATTTATTCGCCTGTTCGAGCCCTGTTCTATGTGTCGATCTTGGGTGAATGACGTTGGCTTACCGCATTGGGGCGAGCCGCCGTCGCAGGTAAGAATATACCACCAAGCTACCTCGGACGCCACAATCTGCAGACAGGCTAAGAAAGACTTGTCGAGGAAGAAGCAACCTATTTTGGAGCACTTCTCTTTGCTCAGCTTCTTTCCCATCATACCTCTCATGATAAAAGGTGCTCGACGCCTCCTCACCCCCTTCCCATGAGCAGTTCGTTTATGCTGGCCTCCTTGTATTCTTAAGCCCGCTAACTCTTCGAAATATCTGTTTGGTACCTTGTTTACTCTACCACCGAAAAGGGCCTTCTGTCGTACCAGCTCAACTTTGCCTTACATATCTGGCACGCTTCATACGACATACGTCGTGCGTTCCGTCGTCCCACTCAGGACCAAGAACACCTCCCAAAACACCTCTGCACCAAGCATGGCGCCTCACCAAGACGCACCCTCACCGGCAGGGAGTTTTACAACCGGCTTCGATGGAGTCTCTTTCCGGCCTAATACTTCATCAAGCCTCGAAATCGGTAGCCTAGCAGCCGCCGGTTCGCAGTCACCTCTCAGCAGCTCATACAACAGCGCATCGCTCGGTGTGGATCTCCATGAAACCCGACCGCTCGTTCCCGGAGTCTACGTACCGACCATGTGCTTCTTTGAGCCGGGCACGGAGAATGTGGACATTGACACCATTGCTCGCCATGCTGTGCGACTCGCCCAGGCCGGTGTCACAGGCCTGGCCACGCAGGGGTCCAATGGAGAAGCAGTTCATCTTACTCACGCCGAACGCCAGCTCGTCACAGCAACGACTCGTCAAGCCATCAACGATGCTGGTTTCTCTCATATGCCCATAATTGTCGGCTGCGGAAGTCAGAGTACACGCGAGACTATACAATACTGCACCGAGGCCTGGGCGGCTGGCGGAGACTACGCCCTGGTTCTCCCCCCATCTTATTACTCGGGCTTGTTTGCGCCGTCGTCAGAAACCATCGTGGAGTACTTCAACGCCGTGGCAGATTCATCGCCGATCCCGATCATAATCTACAACTTCCCCGGTGCAGTGGGAGGGCTGGACCTATCTTCCGACGTTATTGTGCAGTTGTCTCAACATCCGAACATTGTCGGCGTCAAGCTTACATGCGGAAACACGGGCAAACTGAATCGCGTCGCCGCCTCCACGAGGAAGTTAGCCAAGAATCCTAACGCCGCAGTTCCGGAATTCCTTGTTCTTGCCGGCTCAGCCGACTTTTCAATCCAGTCCCTGGTGGCTGGGGGACATGGCATCCTTGCGGGTCTGGCCAACATTGCTCCCAAAGCCTGCATTAGAACAATTGAGCTTTACCAAGAGGGCAACCACCAGGAAGCTCAGGACATGCAGGAGATTGTTTCTCAAGGCGACTGGACCGCCATCCAAGGGGGCGTCGTAGGTGTCAAGGCTGGTCTTCAAGCATGGTTGGGCTATGGAGGCGTCGCCAGGAGCCCCCTGCCGAAGCCAACGATGGAACAAATGAAGAAGTGGAAAGAAGGGTTCCGAGACCTTGTCGTTCTTGAGAAGTCTTTGTGAGACTGGTGCAATCGCATCATGGGCCATCTCTAAGGATATCATGAAAATACGGAGTCATGCTTGTTTCCTAGGAAAAGTCGGGTTATGGATAAGGTTGCCTCTGGCCAAGAGTTACGGCTGGCTTTTTTCCGACTTTGCCTCTGGGTGCCTTTGGGTTATCCAAGGCCATTGGATTTTATCCATCATATCTTGTTTGAACCAAAAGTTGTGTTACCGAAGAAAGAGACCTGCATGGCTTTATCTCTAGCTTACCTTTTAACTTAGTGACATGGGCATTTTACATTCGTAGAACGCCAACAGTTCAATTGCACTAGTTTTTATCTAAATAGAAACATTTCAAAGCTTGAAAATATCAATGAAACAATCGCACATATAGACTTTCCACAAGGCGTTCGTGACATAAATTCAAGATATTTCTGGCGAAACAGCCACAACTCTGCAGGCACATAATCAAATTGACGACATACTGCATTCACCAGCGGCGACCACTCACATTTACCAGCATCTTGCAAGATAGTAGCACATTGTCTCTCATAAGCTTGTCAGGAAGGCCATTTTAATGGTGGTTATATAACTTCAGCTTTGCCACGTCAGACCACTTCGTACGCTTCGTGCAGCATAGGAGCTGTATTGACTGGGAATAAGGGGCCAATGCATATACTGTATTTGGAAACCTGTCTAACTCCGATTCTAGGCCGAAAGCGGTGAGGAGAGCAGCATGCGAACCAAGAAAGATGGGCTTCGTTCGCTCGGTTCCACCAGCGGCTACTAGCATCTCGGAAGAGCGGCAACTATGCGTAAACGATGTGAATGGCCCTCTTTGTACGCCTTGAGGTAGGTTGTGGCCAGTAGCTGGCAGTGCAAGTTACCTATCGGCGCCAAGCGGGCAGACGATCAATGTGGTTTTACCAGAGGAAGCTGTCCAAGTGTCCAAAAAAGAGGGAGACTCTGACCGCTCCATTATCGCTCCGTTTGTTCCCCAATGTCTGGGTTGGAATACGAACGCAGCGACCCGACGAGTATACGGATTCGAAGTCTGCCGAGAATCTTGCGGGAAAGGGGCTAATCCCTTCCAGATGTGGTCTCTGGTCCCCATTCTCAGAACAAGCCAGACACAACGCGAAGCGCGGATTTGGTTTAACGTGATACATAGACAGGAGCCTTTTCTCTCTTCGTCCCACATCTGAAAAAAGGCAGTCCTACAATCGTTCCTGTAAGTGGAATCTCCCGTCACCAGCTTTCCATGGGCCCATCCGCCCGTTCCAGGAGAAGACTGGAAGCCCCTTTCCCGTTAACCACCGTCACCATGTCACGCAACGGCATCGACATGGGCCGTTACAAGTCTTCGCTTTCCACATGCTGAGCGAGTCACAAGGCTTCTGGCAGCACGGGGCAAACGGTATGGTACAACGGGCTCCGTTTGCTCCATTCCTGGGTCGACAGGATAATTGACCGCCCCCCAGATGGGTGACATATAAGGAATTGCCATTTCCTCCTTATTTTTTCTCACGCAGAAATTTTGATTGTCGTGCTCTTTATAGCCGACAAGCTCGACTGCAGACCTTTCTCTCAGTTACGATGATTGCTCCTCAGTTTATCCTTGTGTTTAGTGTTCTGGCGACCGTACGATGGACTGTCTCTGCGCAAGAGATTCCGATCGTCGGGGCAAGGTCCGGCATCAATATGCGGACCGGTGAGGTGCCTGTACGGAGGAATATCAACAGTATCTACAACGAGAGAGGGCCGCAGTGGTAAGACTGGCTCTTGTAAAGAGGCCATGGTTGCTCACGATAACATAGGGACCTCTACGTCGGTGCTCTTATTGCTATGCAAGATGCAAATGAGACGGATCCAACATCATACTTCCAAGTAGCGGGTTCGTGTCTGCAAAATCTGTTGTTCTTGTTCACTGTGCTTAGTCTATCAGGCATCCATGGTCAGCCATACATGGCTTGGTCCGGCGGCGGACCGCAGACAGGGGCACACACAGGATATTGTCCACACAATGTACGTCGTCTAATGATATCGACGTTACCAAACCAAGCACGACTAACCTGTCCAAGCAAGCCTTGTTTGGGACCTGGCATCGCGGGTATCTCTCGCTCTATGAGGTCCGTACAACTGTTCACACACTTCGCTTCTCATTGCCGGAGCCTAACCCCTCTGCAGCAGGTTCTGGTGCTTCAGGCCAAGCGCATCGCCTTTTCTTACCCGGAACCTCATAGGCAGAGATACATGGATGCCGCAGAACGTCTACGCATCGCGTACTGGGACTGGGCCGCTGACTACCATGTCCCACCCGCGACGGCGAGACCGACCGTGGTCATCAACAAGTCTGCTGGCGGAATGGTGCAGGCCACGATCGTCCGTAATCCCCTCTACCGTTTCAAATACCCCGAGTCGGCTCTCGATGGCCAGTTTGGTGCCTTCAACGGGGCGAACCACACGAACCGCTGCGTCAAGGATGGCGAGAGTTATCCGGCCACGGCCAATAAGATGCTTGCAGGTTTCAGCTTGAAAGAGAAGGTGGTGAGTTGCCAATCCCGCGGTCATTATTGATGAGAGATTTTTCGGCGGCTGCGTCATGGTCTTCTTCTTGTTGACGTATTGTAGTACAATGTCTTTGTCAGGGCTCGCTCTTTTGATGAGATGGTCTCGGCTCAAAGCCAGGGCGCCAACTTTGAAGGACCCCATGGCGAAGTCCACGTCGCAGCAGCATGCGGCCAAGATCTGGTCTTCCTTTCAACCTCTGCCTTTGAACCGTTGTTGTAAGTGGCGATACCCCCCCCCACATTCCATCGCTTTTCTGTTGACTTGCGTCCAGTTGGCTCCATCATGCCAATGTTGACCGTCTCGTCGCCTTCTGGCAAGCCCTCCACTTCGAGAACGCGACGATGCACTTCTCGTACGCCTCTGACACGACGTTCGCCACTCCGGCCGGGACGACGGTCACGCCGCAGTATCCCATCTGGCCGTTCATGGGCTCAGGAGGTGGGCCTCTAACCAGTGAGTCAGTGACACACGTACGTGACTGGGGCTACACGTACGCGCCAATGCGGTTCTGGGACCAGGCGCCGGGGGAGACCAAGATGGCGGTTAGTAGGACGGTGAACACGCTCTACGGCCCTCTGGAACAAGAGCAGTGGCAGAGGCGGTGGTTGTTCGGGGGTTTGAGGAAACGCAAGGGGATGCCTAAACGGGAGTACTTCGCCAAGGTCGAGGTTGAAAGGAGCGAATTAAAGCTGCCATGTCAAGTGCAGCTTTTCCTCAAGGGCAGGCTGGCTGGGTCGTTTACGTTACTTGATATGCCCAAGCAGGGGAGGAGTTACGATGAGATTCCCCTGAGCAGAGGAGTGGAGGCAGTGGGTGTCAGCAGGCTTTCAATGAAGAGCGTGGTAGGTGTCATTGGGGACGGGCTAGAGATTGTGATCAACAACGTGAGTACGACATCCGCACCCACGGTTTCGTTGAGAATACGGTCAAGCTTTAGGAGATATGATGTGTACGCTAACGCAAGTTTGCTCAGTTGGATGGTACGACGCAGTCGTTGGCTCGCGTCCCGAGCTTGAAGATCGAGGTGGAGGGCGTAGACGTCGTTCCGCCGGATTCCCTGGACAAACTACCGACGCTTGGTGCAGCGCTGATCCGTCCCGTGCTGGCGCGACCCTTAGCCACAGGTAATCATTTATGGCAATAACGACGCATCCACGGCTCGCGGCACACCGTGCTTCCTTGAAGGAACACGGGATGTTGGGATACCTGGTTCTTCTTTTGGCTTGCTTCGGACCGATATCGCGATAAAGGGATGCAAAAGTTGCTGATAGTCGTCCATGGTACACAATAGCACTCGTTTCAAGTTGAAGGAAGAATGCAGTATAAACGGCGGTCGTTTTGGCGTTGTGCCTCTCTAACCCATCAGATGACGTTCGTATTCTTTGCACGCCCTGAGGGTGGGTCGTTGGTATACATCATCGCTCAGTTCAAGAAACACAAGGTGTGCCTGCGCACTGCGCAACGTCGGACAGTGTTGCTTATGGTGGTGGTGGAAAAGTACAACGGCAGAAACAACAGAATACCAAGGCCTGGCGCCACGGGACCCGACACCAGGGCGAGCGAGTGAGGTGGTGCTTAGACGGCCCGATGGGCCTGTTCCGTGACAGTGTCTTACGGGCGCTTAAGTAGACGTCAGTCAGCGACAACGGCTCACGGACGTATGACGGGGTGACAATCGAGATTCCGACGCGGTGGTGATGTGGACCTGGAGGGATGACTCGCTTCTTTGCAAACACGTACATGGCCATTCTAGTTCTGCTTGTCCTCTTTCATTGCAAATATGTCTACGGTAGAAACAGCCTACGCGTCTTGACCGCCCATGAGCCACAAAGCGCCGCAGCTCGCCTGGAGCAACATGGCACAAACGAGAAACACCTTGCCCGCCTGCCCTTCGCTGCTGAACATCAGGCTTACGACAACAAAGACGTTAAGGGGGATCCTCAGCACGCCGTAGACCTGTGCCCTGACACCGTCGTCGACGACCTTTCCCTTGAGATACCCCATGGAGGGAAAATACAGACCAACACAGGCCTCGAACAGGCAGAACAGCCAAAAGGTAACCTGCTCCGCGCGCGGTGCACCCGTGCCGAGGGCGAAGAAGACGGCGTTGGCGGCAAAAAGAACCGAGAGCAGGAGCCGGGACGGCGTAGAGACGAGAGCGAGGAGACGCGGGTAAAGTAGAGAGGCGAGGAGGGTCGAGGCCATGAAAGAGGCAAAGATGATACCGTAGGGAAGGGTCTCTGGGGAAGACGATGCCGAGACGAGAACGGGGGACCAGAGGACTACAAAGAGATACATGGAGCCTTCGAACATGGTCGAGGCGAGGCCGATGGCGAGAACGCGGCTGTCGGTCATTGTGGACCAGAGGCTGGTCTTCTTGCCCTTTGATGCTGCTGATGACGATTGGCCCGCTGAGCCGTAGTTTTCATCCTTTACTGCCAGTTAGTAGATGGGTCGGAAAACTTAATGAGATGGTGCAACTCACCCATTGGCTAGCAATGACCCCTGCGGCAACGACCAACAAGCCCACACTGGCCAGGAAGGGTGCCTTGCGCGTCCCCGTTGCGGAGACGAGCCACTCGCTCACGACACCGCTCACAATGGCAACGACGCTGTTGACGGTGCTCATCATGCCGAATGTGCGGGACAGGTCCAGGCCCTGGTCACCCAGTTGGCGGGCATGGAAATCCGTCACCATCCAGCTCTCAAAGACGCTGAAGAGCAAACTCGTACCCAAACCGCCGAGGACGCGGCCGAGGAAGAGCAACGGGACGCTGGGGATCGTGGTCAAGACGCAGGAGAGGGCATAGGCGGCGCAGAAGAAGAGGCAGCTCGCCTTGCGGCCATGACGGTCGGCCAGAGAGCCAATGAAGTAACCGGCCACAGCACCCGAGACGAAGCCGGTGGTGAAGAGGGTCGGAACAAGGTCCGACGGGATTTGGTGCTCGTTCTTGTAGAGCGAGTAGAGGAATGGGCCCTGGGCGTGTGCGTCAGTATAAGACCCGAGAACGGATAAGGTGCGAGTGTGAAAAAGACCTGTAGCCAGTCGGAGCCCATGGCGAGAGCATAGACGACGTAGAAGGCCCATTGAGAGCCCTGCTTCTTGGGCTTCTGCTTGGTGTCCTTCTTTTCATCCTTCTTGGCGACATTTTGCTTATCCCGGCTTCCCGAGGCGAAGAGCGTGCCGCAGGCGAGGAGCAGACCTGCAAGGTTGATCTGGTATATATCCAACATTGCGGCGGCAGCTACTGGCTATAGAACGTGTTTCTGGATAGCTTTGTTCACGGGGCAGGGGACGACGACATGAGAAGACGTTGGAGTCAAATCGACATATGGACAGCGTTTGAATGGACTAAAGGAAGATGAAGGTGAAGATGAAGATGAGGGCCTGCGAAATGATACAAGTGCATCAAAAGGGTCCAGGTGTCCTTCTACATTGAAACGGGGCGATATCCTGGGAACCAAGCTGGAGCAAGGAGTGTTTCGGGCGTGCACAACTCCAGGGGACCCCTTTAAACAGGAAGGTTAGCTTTCGAATCATTGAGTTCGTGTTCGTCTGGTCCAAAGGAGGGGGGACAGGGCTCGGACGAAAGCGGGCAAGGCCCAATTCTATTCTGTGAGCATAAAGCGTAAAGCAGTTGGCATTGATAATTAAGGAGACGTTAAAGAAGATGAGAGAGGACAAAGGGATGGGGGAGATAATAGCGGGTAACTCTGCCGGCGAGCTGGCCCGGTAATTCTCTATGTACAATACCTACCCAGGCTAGGTACGTACATACAGGCAGGTAATCTAGATCAGCTAGGTACTGCCATGTTTCAAACATGACAAACAACCTAGACCTCGAGGAAACATTCGCAGACGGGCTGCCAACACCACAATTCACCTTCATCGCATCAACACAAACCTCAAAATGCCATGTCCGAACAAGTCAGCCATCAGATTCGGGTGCAATCAGGCGAGCATTTAGCATCTCAAGCTCTACCAATGAGCTTCAGAGCCGGACACTCGCTGAAGTCGGCTGCTGTGCGTGCGTGCGTGCGTGCGTGCGCAGTCGGAGATCCGGGCAAAGACACGCGGGGCTGCAAGCTATATGTAGCACGGCACTTGATGAGTGGTGGTCGACCTGCTCGGTTCAGTTTGTCCGGTGTCTTTATCTGATGTTCCAGAGCTCCCGCGAGGGATCACCAGGCCAGGTAATATCACCTTCCGCTTGGCGCAGGCGCGGGGTCAACTATTAAAGTTTTATTAGCAGAGCAGCGTTTGCTGAATCACATATGATAATTACTAGACATATGGAATAAGGTCGCATCGAGGCCTCAAATTCGTAATTACGCATTGCTCGGTTTCGCAGCCTTCTTCGAAGCTGATTTGTGTAAAAGAAAGCACCTCGCCTCACCTCGTTTGACCATGCCTGGTCTGATCCTTCGCAAGTCGTCTTGACTGCACCCCATACAATGCGTCTGCTCCCCTCAGTCGCTGCCCTCACGGTGGCGGCGGTCTGTCAGTCATTCGACCCCCTCGCCTTTGTCGACCCCTTAATTGGGTCTCGGAATGGCGGCAACGTCTTCGCAGGCGCAACATTACCCTACGGCCTCGCTAAAGCCGTCGCCGACGTCGACGGACAAAAGACAGGCGGCTTCTCAACGGACGGCAGCAACATCACCGGCTTCAGCATTCTTCACGACAGCGGGACGGGAGGGAACCCGAGCCTCGGCAATTTTCCGCTCTTCCCCCAGGTCTGCCCCGGCGACGAACTAAACAACTGTCGCTTCCGGATCGGGGACCGCGCGACGCACTATGACCCAAACAAGACCGTCGCCGAGCCGGGCTACTTCTCCGTCGAATTGACCTCGGGAGTGAAGGCCGACATGACAGTGTCCCAGCATGCGGCACTCATGCGGTTCAAGTTTCCGAGTGGTGACGAACACCCGCTCGTTCTGCTGGACCTGACCGACCTCTGGGCCAGTCGACAGAATGCTTCCGTGACGGTCGACACCCCTACCGGTCGAATGCTTGGCAATGGCACCTTTCTTCCAAGCTTCGGTGCCGGGACTTATGCGCTTTACTACTGTGTTGACTTCTTCGGGGCCAAGGTCTTCGATACCGGGGTCTGGGTCAACAGCCGCGCTGGGAACGAGCCCAAGGAGCTCTTCATTACCAGGGGCTTCAACATGTTCTACCTCCAGGGCGGCGGCTTCGTTCGCTTCAAAGAACTGACCAACAACACCGTCACCGCCAGGGTGGGTGTGTCGTTCAAGAGCAGCGATCAGGCGTGCCGGAACGCCCAAAAGGAGATTGCCGACCCGCTGGGCAGATTTGACTCGCTTGTCAAGACAGCCAAGGACGCCTGGCGGGAGAAGCTGGGCCCAGTCTCTATCAAAGCGGGTGGTGCGACTGAAGATATCCAAAAGAGTTTCTGGAGCGGCTTGTATCGCAACATGATCTCGCCTCAGAACTACACCGGAGAAAATCCGTATTGGGATAGTGGTATCCCGTACTTTGACTCCTTTTACTGGTAAGGAACCGGCCTTTATCTCCAAATAGACCTCGCTAACGAGTGAGCAGCATTTGGGACAGCTTCCGCGCCCAACACCCGCTACTCACAGTGATTGACCCTGCCGCTCAGACGCAGATGGTCAGCTCGATGCTCGATATATACAGGCACGAAGGCTGGCTGCCGGACTGCCGTATGTCCATGTGCAAAGGCTGGACGCAAGGAGGCTCCAACGCCGACGTGGTCCTTGTCGACGCCTACGTCAAGAACTTGACCTCGATAGACTGGAACCTAGCCCTCGAAGCAATCACCAAAGACGCCGAGAACGAGCCACCAGTCTGGTCATACGAGGGCCGTGGTGGACTCGCAAGCTGGAAGAACCTCCAATACATTACGTACCTCGACTTCGACCCCGTTGGCTTCGGCACGAACTCGAGGAGCGTGTCGAGGACCCTGGAATACTCTTACAACGACTACTGCCTCGCAACACTGGCACGGGGTTTGGGAGAGGATGCGCTCCATAGCAAGTATATGGCGCGGAGCATGAACTGGCAAAATCTGTGGAAAGCCGACCAGAAGTCTCTGATCAACGGAGCCGACACGAATTTCACCGGGTTCTTCCAGCCAAAGTACCTGAACGGGACGTGGGGGTTTCAAGACCCAATAGCTTGCTCAAACCTCGCTGGATTCTGCTCACTGACAACGAACCCGAGCGAGACGTTCGAGGCGAGCATCTGGCAGTACCAGTTGTAAGTCACGTCACAATCTGCTCCGTCAGCAACCGGTAAGCTAATCCCCCGCAGCCTTGTCCCGCACTCGACCTCGACCCTGATCGACTTGATGGGCGGCGACGAGGGTTTCGTCTCCCGCCTCAAATACTTCCATGCCTCACCCCTGGCCGACATCTCCAACGAGCCCGTGTTCCTCACCGTCTATCTCTACCACTATGCCGGCCGCCCAGGCCTGTCGGCGGAGCGAATCCACCAGTATATTCCTTCGGCGTTTAACTCCTCACTTGGCGGACTGGCCGGGAACGACGACTCGGGTGCCATGGGCGCCTTCTACGCGTTCTCCGCGATGGGCCTGTTCCCCGTGGCAGGGCAGGACGTGTATCTCATCACGCCGCCGTTCTTCGAGGAGGTCAGCGTCAAGAGCCCCACTACAGGCAAGACCGCAACGGTGAGGTGCGTGGGGTTCGATGCCGCGTACAAGAACATCTATGTCCAGAGTGCCAAGCTTGACGGCGAGACGTACAACAGGAGCTGGATCGGCCATGATTTCTTCGGGCAAGGCAAGACATTGGAGTTGACGTTGGGGAATAAGGAGTCCGGCTGGGGGAGGAGTAGAGAGGCCAGGCCGCCGAGCTATGTCGCTGTGTCGAAATCGTGAGCTTGATATCGATAGCTTCCTGAACATACTTCATTTGTCCATCTCGGACGGGTCACCACAAGTTTTTCCGAACTCGACTTTTGCTTTCTTCACGGCTCCAAAGCCCAAAAACTGTCAGCGGTCATTTATGCGTCTGACATATACTCATTTGTTGCGCTGCGGATATACATTAATAGTGGATATATTCCCAGGCGGCAGCACGGGGAGGTTGCACAGTCCGAATTTCGCCGCCCACCGCTAGAATAGCATCAGCGGGAACAAAGGAAATGAGGGCTAGAGGCACGTCTCAACAGGAAAACTCCTCAGCGCAAGCCGGACAACTCATACTTTTTACGCTCTTTCTCAAGCTGCCTCTGCAGCTTCAACGTGAGGAGGCTAGTCGACCCCTGCAGAACTATCGCAACTCGTAGGACGGGGGCTAGACTTGGGGTGTCGGCTTGGAGTGTAGCCCGGCTGACTTGCAGCCCAATGTGGCGCTCGTATCCGCTAGCTTAACATGGGAGCGTCTTTTGGAACCCAAAGAACCTCGAAGGACCGCAGAACACAGCTCCGGGCCCATGATAATAGATGGTGCAGAGAAAGTTCTATACATCAGGGTTGGCGGATCCCTAGCAAGGAAGCGGTTGACCACGGCATTGCAGCCACCGGGTCTCTCGCAAGCGGGAGCTGTGCTGCTACCAGTATTCTATGGAGATGGATTGGGAACTGCTTTCTATAGGATAAATGAACAAACAAACAGACAGGTGTGTGGTTATCTTGATATTGCTCGGGAATCGAAATATGACTTTTGATTTCTGTTCATCCGTTTTTGAAAAATCCGTGACGGGTACTCATGACCGCTCCAGGCGAACTCCTCTAGGTGTCATTACTCTGTTAAAACCCAGGCACATCCCGCCCAACGGGAGTGCCTTCCCGACCGATTTCCCTGTCCGTAATGGCCCCAAGACCCCAATAAAATGCTGCTGCTGATCTTTTACACAATAATCAAATCGTCATCGTCATCTTCAAAGGAAACCGACTGCTGCGGTATATCCACCCCTAGACTCTCTCTCCCGGCCTCGCGGATCCCCTTCTCTGTCACGAACCTCGTCTTCTTCCGCACCGGCGGCTTGTCGTTGCTCAGCTTGTCGCCGTCCTTCATCTTGGCCAGCTTGTCCTTTAGGTTGCCGCCCCAGCCGAAGCCGCTCTTGGTCCCGGTGGCTGCCGACAGTGATGGCGCCCCAATCGACGAGCTGGACTGCGCGCTCTGCGGCCTCTTGCGTTTGATCGGGCTCAGATGGATCGCCAGTTCCTTACTCCTGGGAGCCATTAGGGTCGCGTTCCTCGCCTCGATCCGCTGCCGCTCCTCCATCACGCTAGCGGACGGGGCGGACGATGAGAGGGCGTACGCAGATGCGGTGTTGCGGGCACGTTCCGACTGCTTCATGTATTCCTTTCCGGCGCCGGCGCCGATCTTGCTCAAGCGCTGCATGATCCCTCGTTCGCGCTCTTGGGCAAGCATTCGCCTTTTCAGCCCTTCCTCCTTTTCTCTTCGATCCGCAAGTGCCTGAGCTCCGTCGATGAGTTGCGCAGAACTCATGGACTTCGTGGCGAACCAATGGCTGTGTGTTTCTCGGTCGTATTTGCCTTTCTTCTTTTGTTCAGGTTCTGGCTTCCAAAGTTCACGCGAGTTCCACCGGTGCCTTTCCCCGATACCGCCAAAGTCCATCGAGTTGACTTCCATGCGTGTCGCTCGTTGTTTGGTAACTGCTTCGTTCGTATGGAACTCGCAGAATTCGGTCCGTTTTTTGTTGACCCATGAGTTGCAGAACTGGCCATCTTTCTTGACGGACTTGCAAAAGCCCAGGTCGCGAGCCTTTCCGATCTCCATGATGGTGTCCGCGTCAGAGTTGATTACCAGACTGAACTTCCCGGTGGCTTCTCGACCCACCGGTGGTGGCATAATGGTCGGGTTCAAAATGGCCAAAACCGTACCTTCCGTGAGTTTCCAGAACCGGGTAAACCCTGAGTTGAAGAGGAATAACTCAAGCTCCCACTTGAGATCACAGAGCGTAATTACCATATACTTCCCTCTATCTGACTGCTTCCCATTCTGGTCTGGCCGGGGCTTGTGTTGGCGAGGCTCTGACTTTTTTGCCACAACGGCAAAGACGACGATATCCTGTTCGATATCTGGAAGCTGAAACTCCGGGCCTTTGACTTTCCGCAGCAGTTCTGGTATCTTGAAGATCTTCTTCCCGGACAAGGTCCTTGTCAAGACCTGATGAGGAAGGATGCGCTGTGAAAGATGAAAGCTAGAGTATGGTTCAAAAGCTGATGCTTCGGCCTCGGGCACATCTGCAGGCGCTACCTTTTTGGGTTTTTGCCCAGCCATCATCCAGTCGGGTGGGGACTCATAGAGACCTCGGGGATCATTGTCGTCTTTTGACGCCGGCGCCGCCAGCGAAGGTATTGTGTCGAGTTTCGTTTGTCCGTTTTCGGGATTGTCCTTACCGCCTAGGATGTCCTCTCTACTGAACTGCGGCGCAACGTCGGGTTGCTCTGGAAGGTCGACCGCCTTCTCTTTGAACTGCTCAATCTCCTTCTGTCCGATGTCAAACGCTGCAGACCGGGCCTGCCTGACCCTGTCTCTCAAATCCTGACGGTCAACCTCTTGCGTCCTTGCCGCGGCCAACCTCTCGTTGAAACTCAATGGTCGTTGAATCTCGCTCTGAGGTGCCGGGGTCCTCGACCTTTGAAGGTAACCGCCGAACTGCTGTCCATCTTGAGAGTTTGCATTCCTGCGCAGCACACTCGGTGCTCGTTTCAGCGAAACATCCTTTCCTTTGAGACCTTTGTCAATGCCTAGCAGGACTCGACTCGGCGATGTCTGTGGTTGTGGGGGCTGCGTCTTCCGGATGGGAGAAACGGGAACTTCGATCGCAGCTTGCGACTCGGGCCGTGGAGCCACTCGACTTGCGCCGAGCCCTAGGACTCTTGATGCCGGCCTCTGCTGTTGCGGCGGTGGCGATCTGCGCCTGGGAGACACAGCTCCCGCAGTCCTCTCCCTTGCACTCTGGAGTTTCTTCAACCTCAACCGAGCCTGTATTTCCTGCAACTTCAGCTGGAGTGTTTCCTCGTCCTCGTCCTCCTGGTCGTCCATCTCGTCTTGTAGGTTCAACGACCGGATTGACAATGTGGAATTGGCTCGTCCCCTTCTCAGCGGAGAAGGAGAGGGTGATGTTCGATTCGCAAGACGTCTTAGGCGATCGCGGCCTCCTGGTGTGCTAGCAAGGGCTTCGTGGGGAGATCGAGGGGGCCATTGAGGCTCGTTAGGTGGGGCTATCTCAATGTTATGATGTTGATCATGAATGTCTCGCGAGGTGACGAACCAGGAGGCATATTGCCAGACGGTTGGCCACAAGGATGCGGCGAGTAACGCAGCGGTTGTGTTCCAGCCTTTCCAGAACAAGGTCACTTGATAGAGTTATGACGCTACAAGGCCCATGACCCGCCACAAGGCCTGGTCAGCTTCTCCGGGCGCAGGATACGATTGTTGGCAAAAAGAAGTGGTCTGTGCTGGCAAATAAAGGACCGTAATCCAAGAACAAAGGGGCGGCTGAGAACTCAAGTAAGGGAGTGAGGGCGGCTTAAAGGAGCGACGTCGTTGTTTGCAAGCTAAACCAACTATGAAAAGTAAGGTAAACCAAAAGTATTCGTATGAAGATTGCAGTCGGAATGCCTCAATCGTTATCAAGTTGTCGCATCTGAACTTGTCGTCACGATAAGCCTGGAAGACTAGCCTCAAAAAGAGGAGTTCGACGTACAGCGGTTCCGGTTTTCCAGCGCTTTCATTGGCTGTAGTCGCGTTGCGCCCTTGATACGCGCTCCACCCCTTCTAATTGAGTGGGCGCGTCGCGTCCACCGTCGTAGCCTGAACACAGCAGGGATCTTAGCACACGTCGGTTCCGCCGGCTATACTTTCACGACGACCGCAAGCTTGCTTGTTAACTGCCAAATCCTTCTTCTCATGTCCGGTTCCTGCTTTCCGGCGCATTTTTGCATCTTCAACCAGACACCTTGGTCAATTGGTGTTTTCCTTGTATAGTACTACATTGACTGAACAACTGCGTCGCTCACTTGGACAACCGTATCCAGTCATGGCGAGAACCAGATCTACCAAGTCTGCACCAGCAGCCAAAACCGAAGACACCAACGCTTCCTTGGCGGCCAAACACTCACTGCCTGAGGAGTCATCGAGTCCCCCGAAGCTATTCATTATTCCCAACAAAGCCACAAAGGAGGCCCGTATAGTCTCCTTGCCCAACCCTCGCTACTCAAAACTGACTCGCTACCTTCTTTGCCCGGACACAGGCATCTATGAATTCACAAAGATTGCGGCACCGAAGGCGACACCCAGGAGCTGGCTAATTGAGACACCCGCTGGCAACCTGGAGAGAACGGGGCCCACGGATGGATTGCGATTCGAAGCACATGTCACCAGCGGCGCCGACCTCTTTGTCGCGACGCCGTTTGACCCCCTCTTTTTGCTCGTACCCGGCCTCTTCGGTCCTACCAACGCCAAAACACCAGACATGAAGCGTCTCTTCCTTTCCAGCGACGACCATTTCGATGCGCTGTCTACGTCGTCCTCCCACTTGTCCGAAGCCCTTCGATGCCACAAGACCCGAGCCCTGCTCGAATCACGAATGGAGTCTATCAGCGATACCGTGGACGCTGGCGAGGAAAAGATGTATCGGCTGAGCGAGAAGAAACTTGTCCTTGAGATTCTCTCAAAGGCGCGCTCCATGAGCTCCAAGGGACTTCCCGCCAGCATGGAGGAGAAGTTCGTCAAGAAAGCCCTCGAGGCGCCCATCCAAGTACAGAAGTCGCAGGCCACAGCTGTGAAGCAGGCTCCCGAGACGACCACTGATGAATTGAGTACACCCGCGTCGAAGAACATACCCGAAGAGTCCCAGTCCTCCATATCAATAGAAGACAGCGCAGCCGCAGCTGTCTCGAACGCTTCAACCGCAGCTACTTCTGTTGCAACCGAGGTCGCGGAGGAAACGGTATCGAGCGCGATCCACGCATCTGACGAGGTCACAAGCCTCCAGAGGCTTAGGATTGCCTTCAGTTTCATCTGCTCTAGCTACATTGCAACGGGAATGGCGGCGAATTTGAAGGAACTTCTGGAAGACAAGGAGACGTCAGGTGTCAACTTCTCGCCCCTGGACGGCTACTTGGCTCAGCTCACCAAGCTTCGCGCCGAAGCTGCATCATCCCGGTCCATGGGCGACTACTCTAGGAAGCGCATGCTAGATGAGGAGGAGGAAGAGCTCCGCGCCGAAAAGAAGCGCAAGATGGAGGAGGAGAAGAAGAAGAAGGCCTCTCAGAGCCGCGGTGTTAAAGCTTTGGAGAAAGTCAACACCAAGGGCATGAAAAAGATGAGCGACTTTTTCAAGAAGAAATAGGCCGAGGTAGCCAGCGGCCGATCGACCGCCTGAATGCATTGTTGGGTATCGGTACTCGCTCACAGCAAACAACCTATATCATCCGTCTACTCCGTACCTCTTACCCGTCCCCGATATGCACCACGAGTGCTCGCCGCACCTCTGCCGATCCTCGATGTGCTACTCGAGTAGCCGTGACCACGAGTGGTGCTAGTGGAGCCACGAGCCCGACCGCGAGAGACACCTCGGCCACGCGGCGCATTGCCGACGGCCACCTGTCTCTGTCGCTCCTCCTCTTCCTCCTCTCTCTTTCTACGAGCAGCCTCGCGCCGCCTCTCTTCTTCGGCGGCTCGTCTCTCGGCCAGCTGCTGCTTCTGTACTGCCTCCGCCTCGATTTCCACAAGGTCGTTGCTTGCGCCACGCCAGTTTGGATTCAAAATGAGTCGCTGGTTATGCTCGGTTTGCGAAAGGATGCGAGTCCAGGTGTTGAGGAGGGTGGATGCGTTCGATACAGTGCTGCCAACAGTCTGCGAGAAACGGGTCAGCTGCCAAGGTCAAGACGCAAGGGTGTTGGGCATAGCGACAAACATTCATGTTGCCTTTGGCCTTTTCGAGGGTGGTGATGATGCCCTCAATGGCAACATTGATGTTACGCACACCCTCCAACTCTTTGCGCAATGCTGCCTCTTTGTCATAAGTGGTGCTTGGATTCGCCGGCGTCTTTGGCGGTGATTTAGGGGTCCTTGGTGTTCTAGGGGTCTTGGGCCGATCGGTTGGAGGGGCACCTTCGTCCTTGGGGCCGGGCGAGGCCCAGATGTCCTCGGTGAGGGAATCGTCGGTGTAGTCGGCCATGATGGTGTGGAAGGCGACCAGGGTCCAGCAGCAGCCACCTTAGCTCGTGGCTGAGGTATCCCTTATTTGGTTGTTATTGTTCCAGGTTTGGATGGAGGGTAGATGTGATTTTTGTCGGAACGCGGTCTGGCCCGTCCGGACTCTGTTGTGACGAGGCGCGGCGCGGGGACGAACGACTGTGACGTTATTTGTTGATGGATTGAAACGTTCAGATTGGAGGTGCCGCCTGGTCGGCCGTTTGGGTGGAAAATGTGGGATGCACCTGTGAGGGGCCGCCCGACAGACAGAGCCCCGCCATGGGTAGCGCCGGAGAGTGTTGGGTGGGTACCCACCTACTGTAGACAGTACCTAGACTGAGGCGGGTACTGCAACCCTGTCGTGGTCTACGCGAAAATTCGCGTCCCCTGAGTATCATGGTCGACGCGTAGGCAAACGGAGTGGGGCTCGCTTAATCTGAATGCAAAATTGAGGCTTGACAGTGTTAGAGCCGGAAGGTGCAGGTGCAAAACAGGGGGGGCTGGGGCTGGTGCGCTGCGCTGCAGAGAACTCGGCTCCTGCCCACTTCATCGTCGGGTCACCTCACCCAGAATTCCCCAGCCTCTACATTTCCTACCTAGTCTCCAGCCTCCTCCCCCGTTTTGTGCCCATTTCCTTTTGCATCCTAAGTGCTGCACCCCATGATCGCGAATATCAATCATTCCACACACCCACATCTCACTTACAACACTTGTAGCCAGAGCAACCAGAGACATCACAAACTTTTCCATTTTTATCTCTTTGCGCCTTCCTATCATTATCCCAAATCATCAGGTCCGCCCCCCTTATTGAACTCTGACCGCCTGAGTTCATTCTGAGGCTTGAAAGAGTCCCCTTATCCTTTTATCGCCCTCGCCTCGTCTGTATCACCAAACGCATCTCAACATCAGAACAATCCCGCGCATTTGCCACACGACCCGGAATTGAGTGCGCACTTGAAGCATCACTGTAAGACTGGATAGGAAGTGACGGTGCATCAGTACTAGTCTACCCGGCCTGGCCTGCCTGCGCCCGCCCTTTCCGCCATAATGGCGACCACCTTTGCAGCATCAACACCTTCACCTCCCCCTACCATCCGAACTCCACCAACGCCCAAACACGGCTGGAGTGACAACTGGGAACCCTACTCTCCTCGCAAATCGGCGCGCATTTCATCCCGTCGAGCTGCCAACCGAACTCCTTCTCCCCAACCGCCATCCCACCGCACTCCTTCAAGGTCAACCCGCAAGTCCGTCGCACCTTCCATCGCCGCCGCCGCCGCCATCATGTCGCCGGCCTCCACCCCTCAGAAGAAGCGCCAGCCTGCTCAAGACTCAGTCCGGAGGGCGCCTGGTTTCTTGTCCGCCGCAAGCAGTTCGCACGCCGCTGCATTGCTCGGAAGTGACAGCATGGACCGTCCATCCAACAGCACGTCTGTCACCCGCCGATCCGGTATGCTGCCTACCCCGGCCAAGACACCCAAGAAAGCGCCGTCCGAGAAGCAGACCGCCCAGATCAAGTCAGTAGCGCGCAATCTGTTTCCGACCGATGACGAGGCACTGGCTACCTCAAAGAGAAAGCGAACCCCCAAGAAGTATTCCGGCAATTCGTTGGAGAGCTTTACCGCCACAGAAGTCGAACAGCAGATTGAGATTTTTACCGACTCGCAAGAACGCATTCCCGAGCCCGACAAGAGCATTGACAACCCATTCTACGGCGATAGTGCCGCCGTTGACCGTGAGCCCCCTCGTCGCCGTAGCAAACGCAAGGTCGCGGTGCCCGGCGAAGCCGCCCAGCCTGTCGATGAGGCGCTCCAGCGTGAGGATGGCATGGTATACGTCTTGTAAGCTTAACCCTTCAACTTCTATAGCAGAAACATTGCTAATACCATCGCAGCCGAGGAAAGAAGATTTTCCGCAAGTTCGCCGAGCCCGAGCCGGAGGACGAAGAGGACGATGAAGAGAGCAGTTCGGGCGAATCTCGCATCCGGAAGCCTCTCACACGCTCTTCGATCAAGCCGCGCCTGCTGTTCCCTGTCGCGTCCAAGTCGTCGGCTATTGGCTCCACAATCGAGGAAGAAGAGGCTGTCACAGACATCGAAGATCATCACCTCGAGGAGCACGAGGAGGAGGAGGTGGGGTCTTCAGAAACCCCGGCTGGGACCCAGAACGAGTGCCCGCCAACCCCCCAAGCGCCCAAGTTCGGCCTGACAGTTGCCACGCCGCCCGATACCAGACGTACTACTCGGTCTGGCCTGAAGTCTGAAGAAGCGACCCCGATCAAGCGTAAAGGCCGGCAGAGCCCCTTCGACGACTGGCCGCGGGTCAAGAGCCGCCATGAGAGCTCGTCTAGCAAACGCGCGGGAGACGACCTAGCAGTTCCTACCACCAAGCGGGCTCGTAATTGATGCGGATGGTCGAGGTCGTTTTGAGCGTCGTTCTTTGCATATCCAGGCAATTTGGAGTCCGGGTCATTACTTCTCAATCAGGACTATGGGATGAGGAAGTACAATTCTTGATAGGCTTTTGTGTAATGGTTACTTTACTTTCATGGGCTAGGGGACGAGATGGCAGCTGAGGGTCTGATTCTTACTAGGGTAGACTTTGGTAGGTTTGTTGGGGGGGGGGGGGGGTTCATGAATCACGGGCAAAACGCTCGTGGACTCCGCAGATTGGGACCGGGCATTAGGAACGGTTTAGCTGTACGAAGGCCTTGGTTTGCGTGTGGTGTGAGAGCGCCTTGGCCGGCTCTTTGAGGTCTACAGTCTAGATAACCCAAGAATGAAGCCCGTACCTATCTATCACTATCCGCTTTGTTCCGTCCTTTGTTGTGTTTGTAAGGTGCTGATGAGTGACTTGTGAAGTTATTTCCAGCATTGGGCTGAGACGGCCCGAGGGCAACTTGATCACACTCGATGCTGCGGGAAGGCCCGACGTTGGCCGCCGTTTCCTCCGAGAGCGGGCTCCAGGAACGCCCGTGTCCAACAAACCTCAACTTGCCCCACTATTGCATCCCCTCCATCCATCCCACTTTGCGCTCCGAGTCTCTGCCACGTCGAGTTCCTCCCAACCAAACACTTGGGTACCTTAACTCAAGACTCACTATCAGTGAGATTCACCATCTTGATCATAAAGCTACCTACCAGCAGCCACTTCCTGACGCCCTTTAGCGCCACTATTTGGCTTGTGTCATCCCGAGGTCTAGTGGTCATCGTGACCAAATCGCCAAGACCAACCCAGTTCACCTTTTGCCGCGGGGACATTTCTAACCCTCATCTCTCCCTCTTCACAGGCATCAACTCAACTCATAAACAGCACCGCCACAACTGTCAGCATGCATATCCTCCTCACTAATGATGATGGCCCCCCGTCGCCTCACTCTTCCCCTTACGTCCACTCCCTCGTCCACCAGCTTGAGCAAGCCGGCCACGTCGTCTCCGTCTGTTTGCCGCACACCCAGCGCTCCTGGATCGGCAAGGCGCACATGATCGGCCAGACCGTCAAGCCGCTGTATTACCGCCCTTCCGAAGAGGGCCTCTTCGGTACTGAGGGCACTACCTCCACACGACCCTCAGCCAATGGCGCCCAAGACGAGTGGATTCTCGTTGATGGCACCCCAGCCTCATGCGTGCAGATTGGCCTCCACCACTTCTTCCAGGAGCGCGGCCCCATCGACCTTGTGCTCAGCGGGCCCAACTACGGCCGCAACACGACGGCCGTCTTTGCGCTGAGCTCGGGCACGCTGGGCGGCGCGCTCGAGGCTGCCGTCTGTAAGCACAAGGCCATCGCGTTGAGCTACGCATTCTTCTCGCGGAACCACGATCCCGTCATCATTGCGGGTGCAGCAAGGCACTCAGTCAAGGTCATCGAGAAGCTGTATCAGCAGTGGCCAGCCGGGGATGAGGTGGATCTGTACAGCGTCAACGTACCGCTTGTCGAGGGCGTCGAGACGCACAAGACGTACTTTACCAACATGCTGCAGAACTACTGGCGGGACGGCAGTTGCTTCCAGGAGATTGATGGAGATGCTGGCGACGAGGATGAAGAGGAGCAGAGCATCCGTGAGGGAGCGGGCGGCGAGGCACAGGGCGGCGAAACGAGGAAGAACGAGACCGGAGGTGCCGGTGGACACAAGCACAAGCACTTCAAATGGGCGCCCAGGTTCACTGATGTATACCAGAGCGTCGAGGAGGCGCCACCTGGTAACGATGGATGGGCCGTCAAAGAGGGCTACACGAGGTATGTGACTCATATCTAGGGGCAGTTTGCCGTCCTTTAGGCTCGATACTGACTTATCAACGCAGCGTGACGCCCTTGAAAGCCAATTTCTGGCATGCTTCTGAGCATCTACACCAGAAGGAGCTGATTCTGTAAGTGAGCCCTTGAGTTCAATGAGATGTGGAGAGAGGGAGGGGGTCAGGCGGCCACGGTGCCTCTGAGAGCGTGACATGGCGAAAGAAGCCAGGTAGGGTGTCAGGACGTTATTACACGAAAGCATGAATCACGAGAGCACGACACCAGGGAGCAAGAGAGAACAAGCAAGACGGATTTAGAGGGCAGCGGGCAGGCTCGGCATGTACTCTTACGCTCTCGATCACTTTTTTCCCCCTCCGGCAGCCAATAGATGACGAAAGCATTTTCTCACGTCTTCTTGTCTGTAGTGACAACCATCAAACTGAAGGGTCTGTTGAGGAGCAGGAGGCGCCCTCGATCAACCTCCCCGTGAGGAATACCGCCGTGGTTCCAGACCAGTCAGCCACTGCCGTTCCGGATCCGAAGTTCCACGCCGTTATCAACTATGAGGATCCGTACGTCCAGCCCCTTATCATCAAGGCCATGGAGCGCCTCTTCCCGGACGCCTACTACTTCCTCCCGGTACCCTCTGAATCCGCCCTTGGGGCCGCACTCCCGACCCCGGACACCAAGATCCTGCACATCGCGCAGTACGAATCCCTCGACTTTGACCATGTTGCCTCGCATCCGTCC